AACCAGGAATTCCTCTCCTTGGTATATATCCCCCCCAACAAACAACACTAATTAAAAAAGATACATACATCCCAGCAATCATAGCAGCATTATTTACAATTGCAAAGATGGGGAAGCAACATAGGAATCTATCAACACATGAATGGGTAAAGAAAATAGAACTTTATAGATGTGGCATATATACCACATCTCAGCCATAAAAAAGAATGAAATTTCGCCTTTTGCAGCAACATAGATGGACTTGGAAGGCATTAGGCTAAGTGAAATAAGTCAGACGGAGAAGGGCAATATGGTATGGTACCACTGATAGGTTGGATCAAAAAAAATACAATAAATAAGTGAATATAACAGAAAAGAAACAGACTCACAGATGTAGAGAACAAACTAGTTGCCAGTAACACTGTCTGTAAGAGAGAAGGAAAAAAGGAACAATTCATACACCCATTGACCACAGAATGGATAGTTTGTGGTGTATTGCACATGGAATACTATCTATCCAGCAGTAAAAATGAAAATGATATTCCTTTTTGTGCCACACATGGCTAATCTTTGTAATGATAATTTTGAGTGGAAAAGCAAGTATCAAAAGGCTACTCTTTTCACTAAGATCAAAAGCAAATAAAACAATATCTTATTTAGGGATCAACATATGTGATAAAACCCTCAGATAACTGTGACCTCTTGGGGGAGGCATGAGTATTGCATGGAAGAGGAGAACATGGTAGACCTAAGTTACTGATAATAGTTTAGCTCTTGGGATGAGTACCAAACTCATGGGTTCTCATTATATTATTTAAAAAAATGAAATCAAGAAATGAATAGTCCTCACCATATCATCCTTTACTACTAATAGGATCTTCATTGCTTTCAAACTCAACCAGAGAGGATGACCAATCTCACCCCTAAGGATGCCAGACTCTCACTCCCTTGAGTGTTTATTGCTGCAACTATTTTTGGTGTGAATCATTGTATTGGTCAAAGTGGTTTGTGCAAACCACAGAATCGAATACTCAGTTTCAAAAGGAAGGGATGTATTACAAGGTACTAGGTACTGTGTGGGCTTCCCTGATAGCTCAGTTGGTAAAAAAAATCCACCTGCAATGCAGGAGACCCCGGTTCAATTCCTGGGTGGGGAAGATCCGCTGGAGAAGGGTACCGTTCCAGTATTCTTGAGCTTCCCTTGTGGCTCAGCTGTTAAAGAATCTGCTTGCAATGTGGGAGACCTGGGTTGGATTCCTGGGTTGGGAAGATTCCCTGGAGAAGGGAAAGGCTACCCACTCCAGTATTCTGACCTACAGAATTCCATGGACTATACAGTCCACGGGGTCACAAAGAGTCGGACCCAACTGAGTGACTTGCACTCACTCACTCACTCACTCAGGTACTGGGTAAAGCTGAATTGTTCGAGGCAATAAATTGTGGCTGATGCTCATTATGAATAACAAGGGGCTTTCATAGGGTGGGGCCCCTAGAACAGAGTCTGCAATAGAGACTTTTTCAAAATAGTTTTTATTACTATTTCTTGCTGTGCTGGGTCTTTGTTGCTATGCATGGGCTTTCTGTAGTCGCAGAGTGGGGGCTACTCCCTAGTTGCGGTGTGCAGGCTGATCCTTGCGGTGGCTTCTCTTGTGGAGAACGGGCTCTAGGGTGCGTGGGAGTCAGTTGTTGCTGCGCTGGGCTCAGTAGTTGGCATGGCTCGCAAGTTTCACAGAATAGGCTCAATAGTTGTGGCCCCGAGGCACATGGAATCTTCCAGGACCAGGGATTGAAGAGGTGTTCCTTGCTTTGCAAGATGGATTCTTAACGACTGGACCACCAGGGAAGCTCTAGAGGTTCTTACTTAAGATTCTTATTTAAGAGATTTATTTTAACTCTTAAATTAATCAAGACATTAATGAATTCAATTAGTTAATTAAGATGAAAGAATCCATCTTAATTAAGAGATTATTTATTATATTTATTTCAGTAGTGCTCTTGGGAGAAGATGAGTGAGGGGAACCAGACAGAACAAGAGGGAGAAAGGGAAACATGAATTTGTTCGTGTTCTCATCTGGAGACTGTCCTCAGCCTGGTTCTCAGGGGAGCATCAGAGCATGATGGTACCACAGAACTGGCTCCCGCTTCAGGCAAGTGGGATAGGCTAGCCCTCTGTACCTGAGAGAGGGTGCCTAGCTTCCGGGGGATGTGGTTTCCATGTGGCTGGGAAGGGGCCACCAGCTCTGACAGCGATTGGAGCTGGGGGCACTGAGCAGGGCGGAGCCCTGGAAGTGCCTCAGCTCCAACCTGACCTCACTGGGAACGGTGGCGGGGGGAGATCTGGGACGAGGTCAGGGCTGGAGGAGGGCAGCGAGGTCGGGAGAGCAAAAGAGGGGCTGTCTGTGCAACCTGGAAGTGCAGCCTGAGACCTGGGGGCTTGGCCTTGCAGAGCAGCGATCCCTCGTCCCCATGGGGACACAGAAGGACAGGCCAAGCCCTCCCCTCAGCTTCTCATTCCAGAGAGTGCCAAGCATGTCATCAACCTACCCCAGTCATCAGTATCACCCTTCCTGTCACTCAGGCAGAGAGAACTAGGCTTCTCTCTTAGCAACCTGCTTCCCCCTCCCTCCTCACTACTCTCTGCAGCCCCAGCCTTGGCCTTGATCTCAGGCTTTGAAGGTGCTGGATTCAATGTGATGGCTGATTCATTGGGTGATAGGCAGTTTTCCCCCAAGCTGCCTGCCTCAGTCTGGAGTGGAACATTCTGGCCTCATAGGAGGGCAGACCAGGAGGCATTAACCCCTGCTCTGCCAGCATGCCTCTCTAGGGCCAGAACCCAGGATTCTGGAAATTGTTCTCTCCAGGGTGGCATGAAAAGGAGCCTTGTGGAGGGCTTTGGACACTCCATATACTTCCTCATTCTCACCCAGGCCAGCCAGGAAACACTTAATCTGAATCAAAGGAGTGTCCCCTGGCCCGTCCCTCTTTCCAACACAATTGCCACCTCTGCCCTTATGTCTATCCTTTCTGGAGCCACCTGTGCCTTCTGCACACCTTCCCCTGCCACCTGCCCCAGGGGTCAGCCCCCAACTTCAGCATAGATTTATACCTTTCCGAATACTCACCCAGGAAGCCAAAGCCACCACAGGCTGGTGCAGAGGCTGAGACAGGCCTGGGTAGAAACTATGTCAACATTCCAGTTCTCCCATCCTTTGGGTGGCTGGCAGATGGGGGCATTGAGCAGTGTGGGGTGGGAGGCCTAAGCAGAGGGTGGGCGCTTTCCGGGAGGGGCCTTGGCCAGACGAGGCTCAGCAGGATCCCCCCAGGTTGGTAGTCCCTCCTCCACTTAGTCATGTCTTGAAGGTGCTGAGGGAGAGGATGTAATTTATGACACTAGTAACCTTCTCTAATGACGTGCGGTTGTCTTGCCAGATACCTTTGTTGAGGGAGATGCAATAACCCATTTCAGCACATGTATTCACTGTCCATAATGTATTTTGAAGCATCTACATGGAGAAGGGGTCATTTCTTCTTTGGCTGAGCAAAACAAAATACTTTTGGACCGTTAGTAGAAAAAAAGAGATACCTATAGGCAACATAAAAATGTAAAGATTCTGGTTTCAAGTAATTTGTTTCCTAAGATGTGACACTGCAGATCCATGAGTGCACATGTATGCACAGGAGAATACACACGTGTATTATGGGACATTATATGACGGTAACTGAGATCACTAATAAACTTGTCAGCTCTCCCTTACCAGCACTGCACTCTGCCTGCACACAGAGGATGTTCAGTAAACGTGCGTCTGTGCTCAGCTGCTTAGTCACGTCTGACTCTTTGCAGACCCGTGGACTGTAGCCCACCAGGCTCCTCTGTCCACGGAACTTCCCAGGCAAGAATACTGGAGTGGGTTGCCATTTCCATCTCCATGTGATCTCCCCAACCCAGGGATCGAACCCACCTGTCCTATGTCTCCTGAATTGCAGGCAGATTCTTTACCACTTGAGCCATCAGGAAAGCCCCTCAGGAAATGTTAGGCGAGTTCATGAATTAACTGCTGAACAAGGAACTGCGTGGTGACATTGGATTGTGATTTTGAAGCCCAACCCAGGAGGGCAGTCTCTGAGTGAGAAACTCTTAAGTGACTCAGCCAGAAGGACACAAGGCACGTGTGCTATGCAGGCGGCCCTGGCACCCTGCTTCTTGCCCGTGACCCCTATTGCTTCCATGCGTCTCCACGCCTGGTGTCCAAAAGCCTACCTGCACCTGCAATTCTCAGTTGAGGGCTGTCCTGGGCCCTCCCTTCTGGCTGGCAGGGGTTGGTGGGTGAACACCCAGCTCCCACACCCTTGGGCAGGGTAACTGAAGACTGAGTTCCACCCCGTCTCCCAGAGCCCCAGGGGATGGGGGCCTAGCGCCAGCAGCCCACGGTGACAACCCACCTGGCAGCACCTCTCCTCTCTGATGCCCTGCTGCCTCCACCTCCGTCTCCTGCCCTCCTGGCGCTTCCTGGGACCAAGTCCCCAGAAATGACATCAGATCCTTGCTGCAGGGTCAGCTTCTTGGGGAACCCAAACTGAGATAGACACCTTTAATTGTCTGACTTCTAACAAAGCACCCCCTCATGCAGTCGTGTGCTTGGGCCTGAAATGCGGTGAAAACAAGCCGATCCATCACCTGACACATTTCAGGTGTGAAATCCAGACTCTGAGCCTCTAATGAGCCCCGCAATGCCCCAAGACAAACGGCTCATCTACTTTCTTAAATGAGCTTAGCTCAGTGGCTGTTAGCAGGGCACCCCTGTCCTGAGCGAGGCTGGCCCACCTGCAAGCCCAAGGCCCCTGTTAATCAGACAAAGGATGTGCAAGCAAAGAAAACATTTTAATTAAGGCTTCATTGGTAAGCCAGATGAGTCAACCATGGTCTAATCCAAAGAACCTTGTATCCTCACCCTTGTAGCCTCTGTTCTAAAACATCCAAGCACGTGTCCTCAGGGGCCCAGAGACACCTCCTCCCGGTTAGCTCAGGCACTGGAGGATCCCTTCTCTCCCAGTTTCTTCTTGTTTGCCTTCGTCTTTTCAATCATGGTCTCCACAATGACAGCAGTCTCTTCGTACGTCTGGATGCTCTCAGTGGAAAACTTCTCTATGGATTCCATCACCTCCACCTTCTCGTAGGCCAGCTTCCTGGGAGGGCTTCTCGCCGGCCGGCTGCTGCTCTGAGCCCCATGCCCTTCGGACCCACCCAGAGTGACCTGAGGCCCTTGAGACCGGGGTGTAGGTGGCCCCTCTGGACTAGGTGCCACCATGGGACAGGGCCCTCTGGCCCCCTCCTCCTCCTTCTGGCCATCCTGTTTCCCCTGGAGGCCCTTCAGTTCTTTAGCGTTTTTCTCATCCCCTTTGTCTGCAGGGTGCGGGGTGGGAGGGCGTCCATCTTCTTTCCCTTCAGGGGCCCCCCCTTCCTCCTTCAGACCATCTTCTTTCCCCTCAGGGGGCCCCCCTTCATCCTTCAAACTGTCTTCTTTCCCCTCAGGGGGCCCCCCTTCATCCTTCAGACCATCTTCTTTCCCCTCAGGGGGCCCCCCTTCATCCTTCAGACCATCTTCTTTCCCCTCAGGGGGCCCCCCTTCATCCTTCAGACCATCTTCTTTCCCCTGGGGAGGCCCCTGTCCATCCTCCAGAGGGGGCTCAGGCTGCTGGGGAGAGGGTTCCACGCTGCTGTCAGGACGCACAGAGTCTTCCCCCTTAGAAACCACCACGCCCCCTTTGGCTGGGACAGAGAAGACACAGAAGCCAGGATCTAGGAAACTGGCATCTCCAGAGACCATCACGTACCGCCCTTTGGTGTACAGGTCGGCGGGGGGCTCGGGTTCTCTGGGGCCTTTCACCTTCTCCTTGATCATCTTGCCTAGCTTCTCAAAGGCTTTGCTTATCTTGCCTCCATCTGGGACATCCTCCGGAGCCCCGTCCTGGGTTGGGGGACTTGCTTCTTCATCCCCCGGTTCAAGCTTAGACTCGCCCTCTTCTTTGAGTACCTCCCGCCCCAGCTTCATGTCCTCTGGACCTCTCAGTGGTGTCTCTTCCAGAATTTCATCTGCTCTGTCTTTCGCGACCATCTCCTTTTTCCTTGGAAGGTTCTTGGGGAGGCCTTTGAGTCTTGGTTTTGCTGCAGTTATATCCTGCACAGCCCTGGTGAGATCTTTGAAAAAAGAAAAAAGGAGGTAGGTGCAATGAGTCAAGGCCAATGAAAGAGGAGGAAAACATATTTGCTGAAAAATACATGCCTAGCACTGGGGTGGGGTTTACTGGTTGGCTGGTTGGCAACAGGGTAGAATCTCTGGGTCCTAAGCATTCATGGCCCACACTGAGGACCCAGCCCTGCCGGCCGCTGTGTGACTTTGGGATGAGTCACTTGGCCCCTCTGAGCTTGCAGAGCAGAGGGGAGGCCCCCACAGTTCCCTTCACACTGGGTACAACTTACTGAGATCCATGTTTCTCTTGCAATAACACTCTGTGGGAGCAGGGCCTCTGCCCCACCCCAGCACCCTCACCTCGAGGTCACAGGGGACACTTGGATCCAGACCAGACCAGGAAATCCAGTCCAGAGAGTCACTGTCACCTCAGGCTTCCCCAAAGGAGCAACTCAGAGTCACCCCGCCTTCCTCTGCTGGGTTTGGAATAGCCTCCAGGCACACCCTTGTCCCCCCTGCACCCCAAACCAGATAAACACCGCCACTCCTTGCTCACCATCCCCTTCCTCCTGTGCAACAAGAGGAAGCGATGCTCTTAAACCCAGAATGGGAATCCCCTGGGTCTGAGGCCACATTCACTGCTTCAGACCAGCCAAGAGGAGAAACTTAAAGTTTCAGAAAGGACAAAGTTTCACCATGTCTCATCCAAAAGGCGGGCTTTTAGTTCCAGGTGGCACTAGTGGTAAAAACAAAAACAAAAACCCGTCTGCCAGTGCAGGAGACATAAGAGACACGAGTTCGATCCTCGGTCAGAAGATTCCCCTGGAGGAGGGCAGGGCAACCCACTCCAGTAATCTTGCCTGGAGAATCCCATGAACAGAGGAGGCTGGCAGGCTAGAGTCCATGGTGTCGCAAAAGAGTCGGACAAGTCTGAAGTGACTTAGCACACACACACACACATCCAAAAAGCTTTCGAGATTTACTAACAGTGATTTTTTAACTTTTTCACCCCAAAGTCTTCTCCAGACACCCTCCTCCCTTTGTTAACCAGAGGACTTGGGTTCACAGAGCCAGGGCATCCCATAGGGGTGACCCTCAATGACAGAGCAGAGTGAGCAGGCATGGCAGGTGCAGGCCATGAAGCCATGGGGGAGGGACGCAAGGGGGACATGTCAAAGCAGGTGGCCAGGAGCAGGTATGTAGAAGGGGGTGCTTGCAGGACCAGCTGTTGAATTTCAGGGCCTGCTGTTCAAAACTGTGAAGCATTTCCAGATTGCAACAGCAAAGCATCAAGCCCAGCACCCTGCGCACAGCTACGGGCCCCTGAAGCCAGCCTGGGTGTCTGGGGACCCATGCCCCTTCTCCCATCTCCACAAAGCCCTCTGAGCTTTCTGAGACCCTGGGATTTGACAGCACTATAAGCCAGGCTTTCCTTCCTCCAGGCACCGTTCTGTTCGGTCCTGACTGGGGAGACTGAGCCATGAGTGGACGTCTCACAAGTGTAGGAAACCATCCCCAAAGGACCAAGTGTTGAAGGCAGAAGCTCCACTGCCCACCAAGCTCTTCCTGCTCAGTTTTGAATGGAAGAGAAAATGAGCAAAAGTTGAGCATCTACTCTGCTCCTGATGCTAGATTAAGCACCTTTGCTTAAAAGAGTTCATTTCACTGGGGGAGGGGGAGGGTGGATAGATACATTTCATTATCTACTTCTTGCCAAAGTAAATGTTAATTGCAATTTTCTCCCCAATTAAATGCCTCGTGCTCATGGAAGGTGACCTCTCGCATAGCCTGACTTTCTCCTTGTAAACTTTTAGACTCAGTCACTCAGCACCAGTGGGAGGACATCAGCAAGGGCGAGGAGGGACCCCACATAAAAGCACTGGATTTCCAGCTGGATCGGAAAGGAGCATGAATGTTGCGTTCAGGGACAAAGTCACTTGATTTTTTCCATTTTCCTAGGACAGAAAATAGAACAAGCCAGAGTTGGGGACTCACCTTTCCCACCATGCCGAGGGCTGAGGGAGGCCCCATGGCTCGCAGTGTACAGGGTGATTGGAGTCTCAATGAAGGCAGAGCTCAGCCTGGCAGGAAGAACCAGAAAGAGGGAGGTCACCATCGTTAAGTCATCAAGCCAAACAGAATGGGGTTGGAGGGGGGTAAGAGGGAGGCTCTAGAGTCCAGCAAAAATGAAGAAGGCTTCCTCTAGATCCAACAGCTCAAGAACCATGAATGTATTTTCACACATTGCATGATGATGGGAAGGTCAAGTCATAAACTGTGAAACACACATAAAAAATGGTAAGGTAGAAATGACTGATAATCTAAATATGCCACTTTTCTGTTGAACAGGAGTTCTCTGTGTTTTGGGTTTTTTTTTTTTTTTTTAAATAAGAGAGGGTTTCCCAGGTGGCTCAGTGGTAAAGAATCCACCTGGCAATACAGGAGCTGCAGGAGACATAAGTTTGATCCCTGGGTGGGAAAGATCCCCTGCAGGAGGCAATGGCGACCCACTCCAGTGTTCCTGCCTGGAGAATTTCATGGACAGGTGAGCCTGGTGGGCTATAGACCTTAAGATCACAAAGAGTCAGACACGACTAAGCATGCACACCACCCCTAAAATAAGAGAATGGCCAGCCCAGGATAAATTATTTAGGGCAACCAGGATATGATTCTCCAACTTGTTTTTTAAAAGAATAGTTTCTATAACCAGAGAGAGCAGGAAGATAAAAGCAATCGAGACAAAATGTAAATAGCTAGTGAATCTAAGAGGGTTCATAATTTCCTTGCTCTGGGCCTGCAACACTTCTATCAGCATGAAATTATATCAAAATTAAGAGTTCTATATAAACACACAAAAGAGGTATCCAGTTACCTTTTGATGAAGTCCTGCCTCCAAACCAAAACTTTTCACAAAGACATTTAAATACCAGTTCAAGATATTTTGTATATGTGTGCATGAAGCATTCACTGTGACATAAATATAATTGAGTTCAGCACAACACATTGACCGGAACTAGAGAAAACAAAAGAAAATCTTCCTTTTCCTGTGACACATTAGAGCACTCATATGTCAAGACAGAACCCCAGAGAGAGGACAGCAGTGTCCCTGGGGGGACACCCAGGTGTTTCTCTTTTACCTCAATCTAAACCCCCCCAAACACACTCACACATTGCATGATGATGGGAAGGTCAATCATAAACTGTGAAACACACATAAAAAATGGTAAGGTAGAAATTGCTGATAATCTAAATATGCCACTTCTCTGCTGAACAGGAGTTCTTTGTTTTGGGGGCTTTTTAAAATAAGAGAGGGCTTCCCAGGTGGCTCAGTGGTAAAGAACCCTCCTGCCAACACAGGAGCCACAGGAGATGTAAGTTAAATCCCTGGGTTGGTGGAAAGATCCCCTGAAGAAGGCAGTGGCTACCCACTCCAGTATCCCTGCGAGGAGAATCCCGTGGACAGAGGAGCCTGGCGGGCTAGGCTGAACTGAAGAATCTCCACTTAATAGAGAAGCAGAGTCCTTACAATGGGAGGCTGGCCTCATCCATTCTCCACACATCTAGGGCTATAGGTACACAGGTGGATACAGCCATATATGTAGGCATGGGTACGGATAGGAATAATGGAGACACCACTGTAGATGTGTGTGTACATAAAGACAGTGCAGGTGCTGATGGTTTATACATGTACATAAAGACGACAGAGGTATATACAGTTTACGCATGTACATAAAAACAATGGAGATGTAGACAGGTTATACATGTACATAAAGATGACAGAGACGTAGATAGATTATGCATGTTCATAAAAATGATGGAGATGTAGACAGCCTATATATGTACATAAAAATGTTGGAGGTATAGAGAGTTTATGCATGTACATAAAGACAATGGAGATGTGTAGTCAGTTTATACATGTACACAAAAATGATGGAGATGTATACAGCTTATATAGGTACATAAAAATGATGGAGATGTAGACAGCTTATACACGTACATGAAAACCATGGAGGTATAAAGGTTAGTAGAAAGAAAGAAATCTTAAAAATCAGGGCAGAAATAAATGCAAAAGAAACAAAAGAGACCATAGCAAAAATCAACAAAGCCAAAAGCTGGTTCTTCAAGAAAATAAATAAAATAGACAAACCATTAGCCAGACTCATCAAGAAACAAAGGGAGAAAAATCAAATCAACAAAATTAGAAACAAAAATGGAGAGATTACAACAGACAACACAGAAATACAAAGGATCATAAGAGACTACTATCAGCAACTATATGCCAATAAAATGGACAACTTGGAAGAAATGGACAAATTCTTAGAAAAGTACAACTTTCCAAAACTTAACTAGGAAGAAATAGAAAATCTTAATAGACCCATCACAATCACAGAAATTGAAACTGTAATCAGAAATCTTCCAGCAAACAAAAGCCCAGGACCAGATGGCTTCACAGCTGAATTCTACCAAAAATTTAGAGAAGAGCTAACACCTATCCTACTCAAACTCATCCAGAAAATTGCAGGGGACGGTAAACTTCCAAACTCATTCTATGAGGCCACATCACCCTAATACCAAAACCTGACAAATATGTCACAAAAAAAGAAAACTACAGGCCAATATCACTGATGAACATAGATGCAAAAATCCTTAATAAAAGTCTAGCAAACAGAATCCAACAGCATATTAAAAAGATCATATATCATGACCAAGTGCACTTTATCCCAGGGATGCAAGGATTCTTCAATATCTGCAAATAAATCAAAGTAATACAGCACATTAACAAATTGAAAAATAAAAACCATATGGTTATCTCAATAGATGCAGAGAAAGCCTTTGACAAAATTCAACATCCATTTATGATAAAAACCCTCCAGAAAGCAGGCATAAAAGGAACATACCTCAACATAATGAAAGCTATATATGACAAATCCACAGTAAACATTATCCTCAATGGTGAAAAATTGAAATCATTCCCCCTAAAGTCAGGAACAAGACAAGGGTGCCCACTCTCACCACTACTATTCAACATAGTTTTTGCCAGAGCAATCAGAGCAGAAAAATAAATAAAAGGAATCCAGATTGGAAAAGAAGTAAAACTCTCACTGTCTGCAGATTACTTGATCCTCTACATAGAAAACCCTAAAGACTCCACCAGAAAATTACTAGAGCTAATCAATGAATACAGTAAAGTTGCAGGATATAAAATCAACATGCAGAAATCCCTTGCATTCCTATACACTAACAATGAGAAAACAGAAAGAGAAATTTAGGAAACAATTACATTCACCATTGCAACAAAAAGAATAAAATACTTAGGAATATATCTACCTAAAAAAATAAAAGACCTATATATAGAAAACTATAAAACACTGGTGAAAGAAATCAGAGGACACGAATAGATGGAGAAATATACCATGTTCACGGATTGGAAGAATCAATATAGTGAAAATGAGTATACTATCCAAAGCAATCTATAGATTCAATTCAATCCCTATCAGGCTACCAACGGTATTTTTCACAGAACTAGAACAAATAATTTCACAATTTGTATGGAAATGCAAAAAACCTCAAATAGCCAAAGCAATCTCGAGAAAGAAGAATGGAACTGGAGGAATTAACCTGCCTGACTTCAGGTTCTACTACAAAGCCACAGTCATCAAGACAGTATGGTACTGGCACAAAGACAGAAACATAGATCAATGGAACAAAACAGAAAGCCCAGTGATAAATCCATGCACCTATGGACACCTTATCTTTGACAAAGGAGGCAAGAATATACAATGGAGAAAAGACAGTCTCTTTAACAAGTGGTGCTGGGGAAACTGATCAACCACTTATAAAAGAATGAAACTAGAACTCTTTCTAACACCACACACAAAAATAAACTCAAAATGGATTAAAGATCTAAACATAAAACCAGAAACTATAAAACTCCTAGAGGAAAACATAGGCAAAACACTCTCCGATATAAACCACAGCAGGATCCTCTATGACCCACCTCCCAGAATACTGGAAATAAAAGCAAAAATAAACAAATGGGACCTAATTAAAATAAAAAGCTTTTGCACAACAAAGGAAACTATGAGCAAGGTGAAAAGACAGCCTTCAGAATGGGAGAAAATAATAGCAAATGAAGCAACTGACAAAGAATTAATCTCAAAAATATACAAGCACCTCCTGCAGCTCAATTCCAGAAAAATAAAAGACCCAATCAAAAAGTGGGCCAAAGAACTAAACAGGCATTTCTCCAAAGAAGACATACAGATGGCTAACAAACACATGAAAAGATGCTCAACATCACTCATTATCAGAGAAATGCAAATCAAAACCACAATGAGGTACCATTTCACGCCAGTCAGAATGGCTGCTATCCAAAAGTCTACAAGCAATAAATGCTGGAGAGGGTGTGGAAAAAAGGGAACCCTCTTACACTGTTGGTGGGAATGCAAACTAGTACAGCCACTATGGAGAACAGTGTGGAGATTCCTTAAAAAACTGGAAATAGAACTGCCATATGACCCAGCAATCCCACTGCTGGGCATACACACCAAGGAAACCAGAATTGAAAGAGACACATGTACCCCAATGTTCATCACAGCACAGTTTATAATAGCCAGGACATGGAAGCAACCTAGATGTCCATCAGCAGACGAATGAATAAGAAAGCTGTGGTACATATACACAATGGAATATTACTCAGCCATTAAAAAGAATACATTTGAATCAGTTCTAATGAAGTGGATGAAACTGAAACCTATTATACAGAGTGAAGTAAGCCAGAAAGAAAAACACCAATACAGTATACTAACGCATACATATGGAATTTAGAAAGATGGTAACGATAACCCTGTATGCGAGACAGCAAAAGAGACACAGATGTATAGAGCAGTCTTTTGGACTCTGTGGGAGTGGGCGAGGGTGGGATGATTTGGGAGAATTGCACTGAAACATGTAAATTATCATATGTGAAACAAATTGCCAGTCCAGGTTTGATGCATGATACAGGGTGCTCGGGCCTGGTGCACTGGGGAGGGATGGGATGGGGAGGGAGATGGGAGGGGGATTCAGGATGGGGAACACATGTACACCTGTGGTGGATTCATGTCAATGTATGGCAAAACCAATACAATATTGTAAAGTGAAAAAAAAAAAGGAAAGAAAACCATGGAGGTATAGACAGTTTATGCATGTACATAAAGACAATGGAGATGTAGACACTTTATGCATGTATATGCATAAAGACGATGGAGATTCAGATACTTTATGTGGAGATGAGGTGCAGGCTTAGGTGATAAAGATATAAGTGTACCCATAGATAATGTAGATACAGGTGTATGTAGATACGGATGTAAGTGATATAGGCGTGGATACAGATGATGTGGTAATGGACAGGGAGGCCTGGCGTGCTGCAATTCATGGGGTCGCAAAGAGTTGGACACAACTGAGCGACTGAACTGAACTGACTGACTGACAGATGATGTAGATGTGGGTGGAGGTAGAGATGCAGATGTAGATGATGTAGAGGTAAGTGCAGGTGTAAGTGTAGGTGATGCAGGCATCAGCGTAAATAGAAGTGTTGAAGATGATGCAGGCACAGAAAATGCAGATGTGGGGTAGATGTACATGTAGATGATCCAGACAGACGTAGATGGCAGAGTAGGTCTCAGATGATGTAGGTGTAGGTGATGTAGAGGCAGGTGTAGGTGTAGATGATACAGATGTAGGTTAGGTGATGTGGGCGTAGCTACAGATGATGTAGAGAATGTAGGTGTAGTGTAGATGTACACATACAGATGCTGTAGACACAGATGTGGGCATAAGTACACGTGTAGGTGCAGACACGGTCACATAGATGAACATGGAGGAAACGGAGAGTAGCTGATGCAGGTGTAGATGTGGATGAGGCTGAGACAGAGACAGAGACACTTGCCAGCAGAGTTCACATCCCAATCCATCGTGTGGAGGAGACCAGACAGCCTGCTGGCAGCCACAGCACTGACCAGCCAGGTGCTCAGAGTCACCATGGCAGCAGCAGTAATAACACCAACTGCTCTGAGCGCTGGGCCAGTTCCAGGTACTGGGCAGGCATCTCGCCTGCAACATCTCAATAACCACACCTGGTCATCCTTTCAGCTAAGACGTTCCTGTCCCCAGAGACCTGTGGAGCCGAAAGACACCTTGACACCCAAACGCTCCCACGGTCATCTTCATCACCTCTCCCCTCCCCCCACCATCACTCACGCCAGAGTCCACATCTCTGTTGCAAACCCCATTCATCCTCTGCCTCCCCCACTGGCATTCCAGCCCCGTGAGGTCCTGGATTTGGGGGTCTCCTTCTGGTGGCTCAGATGGTAAACAATCTGCCTGCAATGGGTTGGGAAGATCCCCTGGAAAACAGAATGGCTACCCACTCCAGTATCCTTGCCTGGAGAATCCCCTGGACAGAGGAACCTGGCAGGCTACAGTCCAAGGGGTCACAAAGAGTCAGACACGACTGAGCAACTAACACTTTCACTTTCCGGCCACATTCCCTACAGCCTGGAACTGGCACATGGAAAAACGTGGAGCAAGTAAGTGGCTCTGTGCCCATGGGCTCTGCCCACCCCAACCCCACCTGTTGCCTTCATTCTCGATGATGCGATGATACCGGTCCAACTCATTCCTCAGGGTCTGCTGGGCGACCACCAGCTGCCGGCAGTCATAGGATGACCTCTCCAGGCTCCTCTCCGCCTCTTCAATCTCCTTCCGCAGGGTGTCGATCTGCTCGTTGTAGAGCTGAATCTCGTCATCATAACACTCGTGCGCGTCTCTGATGGCTTGTTCCAGGGCCGCGGTCTGCGGGCAGAGTCACAGTCAGGAGGAAACCCAGCCACCCTCTCCCTTCAGGCACAGACACAGCAGTAGAGAATCCAGATGGTGTACCCAGTTGTATTTGTCTTGTTGGTTTGTTTCTCTGTCAGCAGAGAATCTTTAAGCCACAGAAGCATCCCTTGATGCTTGTATCAGCATCCCCGGAAATCAGCCTTTAGTGGAGCCCCGACCCAAGGCAGTAGGAAGATGAGAAACTCAGAAAATAAAAACTACTTCCTGGACTAACATATACAACTCAGGGTACATTCTTCATACTTTACTGAGTTAGCATGAAAAAGTAGTAAAAAGAAGAACATGGACTAAATAGATAAGATGCTATCAATAATTAAATGGGGGAGGGAATTTCCTTGATCTTATTCAGTCACTACAGCACTTCAATTTTCTCCTGATTTCTGACCAGGAGAGTTACATATATGTTTTGATAGCTAAAATATGTGTGTGTGTGCACTGGCACTTATGTAAAATAACTTCAGAGAAATGCTATTTATATATTAAAGCAGGACAAGTCAAAATTAAGGTAGGAAAATGAACAGAGATTCCTCATCTTCACTTTAAGAGCTGTGACAACCCACAAGCAGCCACAAGCTGCTTACTTATTTACAAGTTCAGTACAAGCTCGCTTTCCCACGGAGAAAAGATCTAACAGGCATGGCCAGTCCTCAAAAGCAAAATAAAATATGTAGACTGAAACCTACTTCATCTGGAAGAGCGCTTGTCAAACTTCAACACGCATATGAACCACCCAAGGATACAGATTCTGAGTCAGCAGCTCCAGTGGGACCGGAGGGGCCGGGTTTCTAAGTGGCTCCCCGACGATGCCCATGGCTGTGACTCTGGTCTCTGGGCCACACTCTTTGAGTCATGAGGAACTAAGCAAGAGCCTGAATCTATCCTCACGTATGTGCATCACAGGATGCCTGACACATGCAGCTTAATGACCACACTGGACAACATAGAGGGTGATTATTCCTGAGAGCCCGACCCTTCACTATGTTCAGATAAGGTCATGAGAAGCAGAGATGGGCAGGAACTGTCCCAGACTGGAGCAGGCTGAGGAGACAGGACACCTGAATGCAGGCAGGACCCAGGATCAGGCAACCTGTGAACAGGGTAACCGGTGAGATTTCACGCAAGTCCCTTACCAGTCTGATCTGTTCACCAATGTCCTGGTTTCAACCTTGGTGCTTTGCTATTTGGATGTTGACTTTGGGGGAACTGAATGAAGAGTATGGGAAAACTCTGAGCTATTTTTACAGCATCAGAGAAGTCTAAAATTATTTCAAAATAAACCAAGAGAGTTTGGCCAGGTTTCTGTTCTTCATTTAAAACTGCCTCCATTCAGGAAACAATCTAGATGTCCATCATCAGATGAATGGATAAAGAAGCTGTGGTACATGTATACAATGGAATATTACTCAGCCATAAAAAGGAATGCATTTGAGTCAGTTCTAATGAGGTGGATGAACCTAGAGCCTATTATACAGGGTGAAGTAAGTCAGAAAGAGAAAACAAACATCATATATTAATGCATATATATGGACTCTAGAAAGATGGTACTGATGAACCTCTTTGCAGGGCAGCAATGGAGATGCAGACGTAGAGAACAGACTTGTGGTCAAGGGGCAGGGAAGAAGAGGGAGAGAGTCGCATGGAAACATATACATTACCGTATGTAAAGTAGATCACCAGTGGGAATTTGCTGTGTGACTCGAAATAGAAACCCACTCCAGTACCCTTGCCTGGAAAATCCCATGGATGGAGGAGCCTGGTAGGCTACAGTCCAAGGGGTCCCAAAGAGTCAGACGCGACTGAGCGACTTCACTCCACGTCGGAGCTCAAACCAGCACTCTGTGACAACCTAGGGGGATGGGATGGGGTAGGAGGTGGGAGGGAGGTTCAAGAGGGAGGGGACATATGTGCACCTATAGCTGATTCATGTTGACATTTGGCAGAAACCAACATCATACTGTAAAGTAATTATCCTTCAATTAAAAATAAATACATTTTAAAAAATAAATAAAACTGTCTCCATTCAAACAGTCTCCTAGGACATCAAACACCAAGGCACAGTCTCTGACTCCTGGTGTGGCCACACCCTCTTAACCATACCGGCATCCACATGCTCCAGGAAAGGCTTCCATGAAGGGATTCAAAGGACGCCTCCAGACCTGAATCTCAGAGACAAGCAGCCATCCAGGAGTGGGTGAATCCCCACGTAAGACTCTCCGTTTCCATGGAGTGGCTCTGAGAACAAAGCCTGCAGGTCACAGACCAGGGTGGCTGGTGTCCATCAACCCCAGAGTCAGCTGGGCAGTAGGAGAACATGAGAGCTGGACACGCTGTCATCAAAGCTCACCTTTCTCCCACGTGAACAGGAAAGAGCTGTGCCCAGAGCAGCCATGTGTTAAAGCTCAATAATTGAAACCTCCTCCATCAGAAGGAGGGGTGCTCAGAGAAAAACAATAAAAGCCCCCCTTTCGGCAGCTCAAAGGGGGCTAACGAGATGATGTCTCTGAGGGGACTGACTTCTGTGTGGGCTTCAGACGCCGTCTAGCACCAGACTGACCGTAGGTGAAAGAGACCCTGCTTCCTGGAGCCACAGTCCAGCTTGGTCACAGGGTCAAGGACAGGGTGTCACAGAACCCACGGAGAGGCCCAAGGTGCTGGGGGGTGGGGGTGGGGGGCGGGGCATCATGGAAGGCTTCCAGGAGGAGGTAAGGCCGGTCCTGGGTGCTGGAGAAGCAGAGGGACTTGCAGAAAGAGGCATGAGAAGCAGAGAGGCGAGCACCAGGTCTACAGGGGTGGTCAGGAGAGGAGAGGGGAAGAGAGCTGCCTACTGACAGCCCCGGGTTACTTCGACAACAGCAGTCGAGCTGATACAGGTGGCAGAGGCAGGTGGCAGCTTCGGGCCTCGAAGCAGCCTGAACTTCACCGTGAGCCAGGTGACTGGGCATTTCTGCCTGGACCATTTGGATCAACCAGCTGATATTCATCTCCCCACTTGGCTGCAGGCAGGAGCCCAGCCAAGCTCTGCTTGGTGTTCCTGGACCTCACTTGGGGTTCGCCAGAAACATCTGAATGAAAGACAAGTGTTCTAGCACAGTTGCGGGGCCTACCTTTGCACACATGGTCCTCAGGGATCCTGAGCTATGCCTCACGTGAGCCCCATCTGGAGGGGTGACTTCCTGCCTCAGTCCTCTTAGGCCCCCGCACTCCTTTGGGTCCAAGGTCATTTCAAAAAGGAAAAAGAAATCGTGTCCTTCCCATATTACATGTCGTCTTACCAAAACCTGCCACCAGATGGTACTAAGGGACTTTCACAAGAAATGATGTCTGGGCAACACACTTCCGCAAAAATCTGCCTTTTTTCACTTTCCTGTCACAAAAACTCAACTGATGCAACTTAGAGAATTTAGAGGCCTGTCCTTTCTCAGGCACCTGGAATAAGTACCATCTCATGCATGGCCCACGTTCAGGGGTCTCATGCATGGTCTACGTTCAATCTCAAAAGCAGAGGCCCCCAGCTCCAATCGTGGGTACTGTTGTGGGCAACCTGCAGACCAGTGTTCTCAAAGCTGGCAGAGCCACCTGGGGGTGCTTGTTGAAGGAGATGTTGGCCCCTCCCCAGAGTCCTGATTCCATAGGTCTGGGGCAAGTCTGTGAATGCCCTAACCATATGCAGAACCAGCTGCCACAGCCCTGCTGGCCGGAGCCCTCAGGCTACAAGGAGCACTGCCCGCCACCGTCCCCACCACATCCCCAGTCCTAGCCCTGGCCTCACTGAGGGGCTATGCTGACCGGCCTCCCTGGGAACATACAGCTTAGCTACTCCATCTGAAAGTCATGGCAACATTTTAAAATCAGCAAAAAACCAGCCGTGAACATCTCATGAACCAGGCTGTGGAAGGCCCAGGCTAGGAACATGAGTGGCCCAGATGTAGAACATCCTGGCTCAGCGTGGGATCCCACCCCCAAATTAGTGACCTCCAAGTGTGGTTCCTCAGCTAGCAAGAAACACCTGGACTTCAGAAAGGCAGGTTCTTGGGCCACAACCCCCAACCTACTGAGTCAGAAACTCTCAGGTGGGTCCAGACATGTGTGTGTTTTAATTTGAGCTAATCAGGGAGACTTTTGGCCCCGGTGACCTTTACCCCTTAGCTTCTGCCCAAGACTCTGTGGTGTTAGCTGGCAAAGGGACTTTGCAGATGTAAGCAAGGTTCTTAAGCAGTTGAGCTTAAAAAATAGGGAGATCATTCTGGATTATTTCTGATCACATGAGCCCTCAAGAGTAGAAATCAAAGAGAGCAGATGCATGAGAAGAGTCAGTGTCCCTGAAGATGGAGGAGGCCACCCACCAAAGAGAGCAGGCGGCATCTGGAATGACTCCTGACAGTAAAGAAACAGGATCCTTGTTCCCACAGGCACACAGAACAGAATTCTGCCAACGTGACTGGGCTTGTGTCCACTTCTCCAAATGCTTATTCACACACACACATGTACACACACCCACACGTACACACACACAACTTATACACACATATATGCATACACATGTACACACATACAAAAATATGCACACACATGTGCACACATACACACACACACACATACCCTCCCTCCATCCTCTCGGAGCCTCAGAGAAAATCACATATTTATCAAGTCATCAAATCGATGCGTCTGGTCCTCAAGCCACAGTTTGTCACCAGAGCAGGATGAGTTTTAAGGGCAGCCAGGGTCTCTGCCTTGGGGACCATGCGCAGACCCCCATGTGCTTTCCGAAGCCCTTGTCACTGCACAGTGGTGGTGTGGGGCAGGAATAGAGATTCTGGACTCAGGGCCTGAAATTTGGTAACACTGAGAACTGACGAAAAGCACCATATCCCACAGGGCTCCAACATGTGATTCTTCTGGTGGCATTGGTGGAGTAGAGACAGAGAGTAACATATAACATTTAATGGTCTACGTAGAAGCGCAGATTTTTAAAATTCTTGTTCTCTTGTCCTTTACATGTACGTGTCAAACGAATGTCAATTTACTTTTCGATTTGGGAAATGTGGTCAAACAAGGAGGAGTGTGTTCTAACCCAACATCCCCATCAGAACAGCCAGATACATGAAACCAGAGAAAGAAACTGGAGGAATCACGGAGGTGCCCCACAAGGCTTGTGAACCACAAAGGAACCCTGTAGAAATAGGATTGAGCTTTTCTGGTGAGTTCAGTTTGCAAATTAAGCTTCACCAAGAAAAGAAAAGGGGTGGGGTGAAAATGCAAAGTTTCCACTAACAAATTCTGAGCAGAAGCAAATGCAGAAACAGCCCCTCTCTCCAGGGCTGCAGTCAGATTTCAGAGAAGAGAGTTCAGGTCAGAAGCAGGAAGCACAGATTCAAGTGAGTGGAGGACTAAAAACCCCAATCAATCTGTGTCCATTTCTGATTTTTAGCCAACAATTTTAAACTGGGCAAAACGGGTTGGCTATGCACAGGTGGGAGCTTACCCTTGGTGGGGGAGGGGGCCTAAGGGAGCCTCTTGGGAGCCAGAAATTAGTGGGATCTCTTGTCCCTGCTCCTCTGGTGGCTCAGACGGCAAAAACGTCTGCCTGCAATGCGGGAGACCAGGGTTTGATCCCTGGGTCAGGAAGATCCCCTGGAGAAGGAAATGGCAACCCACTCCAGTACTCTTGCCTGGAAAATTCCATGGATGGAGGAACCTCATTGGCTACAGTCCATGGGGTCGCAAAGAGTCGTACACAACAAGCGACTTCACTTTCACTTTCACTGTCCCCTCTGGCCTAGAGCCTTTCCAGTCTGAGCAGGAAGGGCAGTGTCCTGGGCAGCCCTCCGTCTATGCAGACAGCTGGTCATCCCCCTAGGGACGCTGTCTGTCACTTGAGGGCTGGGCACACAGGTGTGCCAATTTGTGAGAATTTACAGTGAGACAGGGCTTCCCTGGTTGCTCAGTGGTAAAGAATCCACGTGCAATGCAGGAGATACGAGAAGTTTGGGTTCAATCCCTGGGTCGGAAAGATCACCTGGAGGATGGCATGGCAACCCACTCCAGTATTCTTGCCTGGAGAATCCCATGGACAGGAGAGCCTGGCAGGCTATACAGCCCATGGGGTCACAAAGAGTTGGACACAACAGAGGGACTAAACAACAACAAAACAACACAGTGAGACAAAAGCGCGCACATCTCTGCAGGCTCGAGACACCAGAATGAACCTGCAGACGGAGGGTGGGGCGCACCTGGGCCTGCAGCTCGGTCCTCTGGGCCTGTAGGAGGCAGAGCATCTCCCGGCCGTCCTCCAGCTGGCACTGCAGGGCGGCGGCTTCCCGTTCTGTCAGGAGCTTCTCCTACACAAATAAGCCAGACTCAGCATCACACCCTTGTCATGGGAGGAAACATGGAGAGGAGGGGAGAGGCCTCCTGTGATCTGCACATTCACATCCCCCCCAGATTCACAGGTTGAGGCCCTGACCCCCTCCCGCCATGGGAAGACATCTGGGCTGGGACTTTGGCAGGAAGGGAGGTGGAGATGAGGTCACTAGAGTGGGGCCCCATGGTGGGATTAGCACCCTTACAAGCAAAGAAGGAGGCACCAGGGCCTAAATGTGCTTTGTAAAGTGCACATGAATCCCTGAGCATCTTGCTGAAATGGGGACTGTGACTCAGTGGGTCTGCTAGGGGGTCTGGCTGGAGATTCTGCAGTTTTCTCAAGTTCCCAGGTGATGCTGAGGGTCTCTAACAATCACTAACGCCATCAAACTAGGTCTAGACGGTTCTACATTCCTACAACTCAGACAAACGGGGGCTACAAGGAAACAAACTATTATGATTTTATAAGTGTGCTCTGATATAACACACCTTTGAATTAAAGCGGAAAATGTTTGCAAAATACAATAAAGTGTCTGGAAAGAAATCTCTGACAAAGAAAATTATGTTTTAGGAAAAGCTGTGTTTTAGACCAGTTCACTTGTGACTTCCCAGGTGGCACTAGTGGAAAGAACCTACCTGCCAATGCAGGAGACATAAAGAGATATGGGTTTGATCCCTGGATTGGGAAGATCCCCTGGAGGAGGATATGGCACCCTACTCCAGTATTCTTGCCTGCAGAACCCCATGGACAGAGGAGCCTGGTGGGCTACAGTCCATAGGGTCACACAAAGTTGGACACAACTAAAGCAGCTAAACACACGCACACAGTTCACTTGGCATCAGTGGTAAGCAATGTGGACAAGAATATCCCCATCAAGGCCAAAAAAAGTAACCCTTCTGCCTCTCAGATGTTACCTGGCAAGGTTCAACTATGTCCCAAAAGCAAATTTGGGGATTTCTTTAGCTTTGATATAAAAAGTTAGATTCAAATAAACATAAACCAGTCAGCTAACCTTGCCCACTGGTTCTGCAGGGTGTGGGCTTAGGAAGGCTTCTATCCTAAGTCATCTTTGCAGAAAAACACAGAATCTCTGAACAGTCCACAAAACCCTGCCCTCAGTGTAACACTTCTCCAGAGAAAGACCACATGACATTTTTGTTTTAATCTGTATCCTTCTCAGTCTATTTCTACACATACCATATCATGCATCACAAAATCCCATAAACCACAGTAGGAAAAAATATAGGTCAATATCCTGTTGAACTGTTAAACAGCTAAATGAGGAAGGAATCTGAAACATTATACTGAGAATACAGTTTTACACCCAAATCCCAAAACAGCTTCAACCATCTCTAGCCTGTCCTGACAGTTTTCATGTCCCAGACTTGCCTCATCATTAGCAGGGCCTGACGTGAAAAACACAGTCACTCACTATCTTCAATTTTCTGGATTCAAAATTATGGTCAAATTGATAAGGGGAATAAGAAAACAAACAACCCAATTACATATATATATATACATATGTATATATATATGCAAAAGACTTGGGTCTTGGTCCAACAAAGAAGATTAGTGAATCATAGATACATGGATGGCAGATAAGCATCCATATGTCTTGACTGAAAAGATACTCAACAAGGAATTCCCTGGTGGTCCAGTGGTTAGGATTCTGTGCTTTCACTGCTGAAGGTTTGATCCCTTTAGGGAACTAAGATTCCTGCAAACCATGTGGTGTGGCTAAAAAAAAAAAAAAAACAATGCTCATAACAAGATACACAACACAACTATTAGAACAGGCAAAACCAAAATAAAAGCCCAACATCCCCAGGGCAGGCAAGAAAGCAAAGCAACAAAAGCTCCCATCTGTGGCTGAGGGCGGGGATGCAGCAATGCTACAGAGCTTGGGAGATAGTCTGGTAGTTTCTTATAAGCTAGACAAGGAAGAATAGCCTGTGATCCTCGAGAGGACAAACACCTAGGAAGACAGTCAGCAGCAGAGTTTATGTCCTCAAATGTCTAGATACCCTTGTTCACTGAGAGACTGAAAAAGCAGAAGAGTAAACTTGAATATGAATGCTCAGGTCAGGTTGGGGCCCCCAGACAGTCCAATCTGATGCCTCTCCCTGGGCCTCTGGGCACCAGCCCTGGGGCTGCAGGACTAATGCCCACGTGTGGCCACCCTGCTACTGGGGCTCCTGCCCTTACCTCCCGCATCCCACTCGTTATGGCGGCGGCCTGCGGGGTGGTCTGGATGATCTGCTGCAGGATGGTGACATAGGTCTGAATCTCCAGAAGATTCTGTCAGGGAAAGAAAGAGTTCTCATTAAAACCTGAACTGCCTGAGTTTCTCCCTCTGGGCCAATGTGACCCTAGGGACATAAGACAGTGACCTGCTCGGAGGGTGCCTGATGCCTCCTTTTATCTACACAAGAGCCGCCTGGAGCAGGTCCTGAGGCAGAGACACAGACACTGAAGCTGGAGGGAGGCCATGTTCCTGGAAAGGTCAGCCCTCAGGTCTGCTGTGCTCAGGTGACACAGGTGGGCAGGAAAGGAGTGTCTGGCACTTGCATTTTTAAGATGCACACGCTCAGAGAGGTTAGATCACTGGCCTTAGGTTACACAGATCTGGGACTGGACTTTCCCAGAACACCAAGCACCCGCACCCCACCGCGACATGAGGCTATGAGAAGCTGGTAGGGCTGAGGGCAGAACACAGCAGTACTTGAGAGGAGGCTCCTGCTATTGCTGTTTAGTTGCTAAGTTGTGTCCGACCCTCTGCGACAGTAGCCCACCAGGCTCCTCTGCCCATGGCATTTCCCAGGCGAGAATGCTGGAGTGGGTTGCCGTTTCCTTCTCCAGGGGGCTCCTGCAGGCCACATGTTCCCTCAGAGGCAGCAGTGAAAATTTACAGTTTTTGCACTTTCTCCATTTTCTGACCTGAACCAGTTGATAGGCAACAGCCTAATCAAGACGGATCCACGTGCAATCACTCTGTGGACTGTAATGTCTCCCATAGATACTGGCTCCCACCCATCCCCTGACACACACACCCCAAAACCATCTCCCCCTCTGCACGTCTGGTTCACTAAGCACTGTACAGCCCAGTTCACCTGAGCAGCCCACTCCAGCTGTCTCATTTTCCAGCCACGAGAGCCCCAGACTAGTTTCCGGTGGGAAAGGGCTGCAAGACGGGTTGTGGTTACCTTTTTGTACCTGTCCTTGGCCGCACTGATGTCATCCTGCAGAAACTGGGCTTCAATCTGAAGACGCAGGTTACGTAGCAGGGCTTCGTCTGCCTCCTGCAACGAGAGGGTCACAATTCCGACTCGGAGAGGCCATGGGGTGGGTGTGAAATCTGAACACACAGACCACCAGGGGTCTGGTTAACATGCAGACTGCTATTTGGTAGGTCTGGGAGGGCGTCCGGGATTCTGCATTTCTAGCAGAGCATTGGGTTAGCCCACAGGACCTGGTCTAGCACAGTAGCTCTCAGGTGGGGGTGATTCTGCCCCCTCGAGGACATTTGGCACAATCTGGACACACTTTTAATTGTCACCATTTGGGAAGTGGAGTGCTACTACCAGCATCGAGTGGGTAGGGGTCACAGATGCTGCTAAACATCTCATAATACATAGGACAACCTCACACAACAAATAAACCTCCAGTCCCTAATGCCAATAATGCCAGGGCTGAGAAGCCTTGATCTAGAAAGATCAGGGAGAAACAGTATGCTTGCATGCAATAACCTTAAAATTGCTTCCCTGGTGGCTCACATGCAGTGCACGAGATGCAGGTTCAGTCCCTGGGTGGGGAAGATCCTGTGGAAGAGGAAGTGGCAACCCACTTCAGTATTCTTGCCTGGAAAATTTCATGGACAGAGGAGCCTGGAGGGCTACAGTCCATGGGGTCACAAAGAGCTGGACATGACTAAGCGACTAACACACTTTCGAATTATGGTGCTGGAGAAGCCTCTTGAGAGTCCCTTGGAAAAAAGGAGATCAAACCAATCAATCCTAAAGGAAATCAACCCTAAATATTCATTGGAAGGACTGACGCTGAAGCTCCAAAGCTTTGGCCACCTGATGTGAGGAGCCAAATCATTGGAAAAGACCCTTATGCTGGGAAAGATTGAGGGCAGGAGGAGAAGGGAGTGACAAAGGATGGGATGGTGGGAGGGCATCACTGAATCAATGAACATGAATTTGAGTAAACTCCAGGAGATAGTAAAGGACAGGGAGGCCTGGTGTGCTGCAATCCATGGGGTTGCAAAGAGTCAGACAGGACTTAGCAACCAAACAACAGTAACACATACGCAACCTTAAAATCTGACACATCTGTATTTGTTCTAGAGCCTCTCATCAGTGAGTTGAGTTTCTAAGACTAAGAAACAGCTTTCCCTTAAACACTGAAACCTTTACTTTAGAATATAGCTAGAGCCCTATTTTATACCATTCAAAAACGAACTCTAAATGGGTTAGCTGCTGCTGCTAAGTCGCTTCAGTTGTGTCCGACTCTGTGCGACCCCATAGATGGGGCCCACCAGGCTCCCCCGTCCCTGGGATTCTCCAGGCAAGAATACTGGAGTGGGTTGCCATTTCCTTCTCCAATGCATGAAAGTGAAAAGTGAAAGTGAAGTCGCTCAGTCGTGTCTGACTCCTAGCGACCCCATGGACTGCAGCCTACCAGGCTCCTCCATCCATGGGATTTTCCAGGCAAGAGTACTGGTGTGGGGAAATGGGTTACAGACTTAAATAATTTTATACTGAAACAAAACTCCAAGAAGAAACAGGAAAAAACCTCCCTGACATGGGTGTCGGCAATGAATTTTTGGACGTGACACTTAAAGCACAAGCAACAAAATAAAAAATTGACAAGTAAGACTATTTCTTGCTGCTGTTTAGGCATTCAGTCATGTGGCATCTTTTGCCATGCCACAGATTGTCGCCCAGGCTTCTCTATCCATGGGATTTCCCAGGCAAGAATACTTGAGTGGATTGCCATTTTCTTCTCCGGGGGATCTTCCCAACCCAGGGACCAAATCCACATCTTCAGCATCTCCTGCACTGCAGACGGTTTCTTTACCACTGAGCCACTGGGGAAGCCCAAGCAAGACTATATCAAACTCAAAAGCTGTGCACAGCAAAAGAAATCACCGATGAAGTCAAAAGACAAACTATCAAGTAGGAAACCTTAATTTTAATAGTTTTCTCCCGAGGACTGTTGACATGTACCTTGGGACCACCCATCTTCAATACAAGATGCATTTTTTAGCATGAATGCTGAGGTGAAGAGTGTTTGCTCCTTTAAAGTTGGAAATGACACAACAGAAGGTCAAACGTTCTTACCGAACTTTTTGATAAGTCACCAACTTTTATCTCATCAATCTTCCTTTGACCAACCAAACAGGTGTGAAGAAGTATTTGTGCTCTTAATAAGAAGGTAATATGATGTGTGGAATTGACTTAAATGCTTCAACAATTCAGTGATATGTTACAAGGCCAAGGACCCTGTTCCTCTCCCAAGACACCTCTGCCTTGCATTTCTACCAATACCTGAGGCTTTGCTAAGTGCATCTTTACTGACTTCTTAATGACTTGTTAAAAAGCACTATGAATGTTAGCAACAGGCTCTCATCCATAGAGGTAGAATGTAGTCTGCTAAAATATTTAAGATATTCTCCACCTCTGCATGAACAGAGTTAAGACAGTCAAGGTATGTGGATAGGACAAGATATTCTGAGACACTTGCCCTCCTGGTACTAACAGGGGTTAGGTTCATCATGCTGAATTGTCATTTCAGAAGACCCACGCTGCCCACCCCTGGGAGAGCAGAGCATTACTGATGGTCTCACACAGATGCTCCAGGGAAGGCGGGAGGCCCCTTGGAGGTCCTGGTGAATGGGCTTCTGAATTACTCAGAATTGTCACATAGCCTGGGGAAGCCTCTTCAACAGAGAAATGTTGAAGGAAAGGAAGCCTGGTGTCTTCCCAGCAGTGGAAAAAGGCTGAGGAGCCAGAAAGATCACAGGTAATCTACAGACCCCGAGGGAAAAAGAGTCAGGCCTCAGGAAGGATAGAAACCAGGGCAGTCCCAACAAAGCAAGTAGCAATGCACTGTGGCCTGGACACCCAGGATGACCAGCGCCAAAGGCACTCATCTCTGCCTCTCAAGGGCGACATCTCTGAGAGACAGCTTTGATTGGCCCACATGATCATGTGACTGTTGTCTTGCTAACAATCCTACCAGGACCACACTGACAGGAAGGAAGGTCCAAGGGCTCAGGGGTACAGCCCTGCCCACTACAGGCATGGTGGTTCCTGGTGGAAGTGACTCCACTCCAAGGAGCGGGCTCTGCTTAGTAGGAACAGCTAACCCTGAGGGCAGAGGCGGGGCAGTGCTGGGTGCAGATGTGAGCCAGCCCTTTGGGATGTTTTCCTACCTGCCCCACCCCTTGACCCCTCAAGATTGCTGAGGATGGGGTGGGATAGGGAATTCTCAAACATCTGAAACTTTCACCAAAAATTCATCCACAACTGATACACAATTACTGGAGCTGAAGACCTTTTGTGTTATGACTTACAAAGGGATAGAACACTTAAAAATTTTAGAAATAAAAGGGACCCTAGAGGCCATGGGTCCTCAGACATTTTGTAGCCACATGTGTGTCATCCTGCAAACAAAACATCTCAGGGAAGCCTACATATAGAAGCAAAGCAGAGACGTGCTTCCTAAGGGACATGATGGTTGGGTGGAGGCGGGCGAGGATAGGAACCCTGACTGTCCGGCAACTCTCCTCCATCAGATGCCCTTCAAGCAAATCCATGGACCTCAAGGGCTCTGCCAAAGGCAGCTCAGAAACCGTAGCGTCTCACCTTACAGACAGGGAGACATGGAGCCAGTGGGTCATTCAGCCGATTAACAGGAGTTAACAGGAGCTAACAGGCGTGGGGTCTGTCCTGGGCTTCCCTCTATTAGTCGGGAATTGAACGCTGAGTCCTGACCCCACCCTGAAAGGTGCCCTCTGCTCTTCCCGGACCTTCCTCTCAGGGTGAAGCCCAATGACCCCTTAGGTCCCATCAGCCAACTTTTTTAAAACTGCTCAGAATGATAACAAAAGGCCAGCCCACATTTGCCCTTAAAAGAGAGATTAATCAGATGCCCTGCAAGCACATTCTCTCGCTTTGAAGACAATCATCTGATAAACTGCCCGGAAAAACTCCCAAAGGTGAGTCGCTGCTGCTGGAATGTGCAGCTGCTGGTAGAGGGGGGTGGAATTCTTTTGGAAGTGTTTTCTTTTGTTTGCACCAGAATTCAGAAATGTGTGGACGCTTGTGTTTTTATTATGCTTTTGGATGCTGTCAGCTGCAGTTTCAAAAGCTCCACCAGCAGAAGCGTCTAGATTTTTCTAAATCAAGACTCTGAGCCAAAAGTCTAATTTTAGAAAATGCTCCAACCCGGATACTGTATATGTTTTACATCTAGGCGAGTGGTTCGCAAAGTGTAGTTCGTGGATCACACCATCTGAAAATGATTTGAAATATGAAAGATCTGGTGGATCCCAGACCTATTGGATCAGAATTTCTAGGGTGGAGGACGAGGAATCTGTTTTAACACACCCTCCACGTGCTGCTGATGCGAGATCCACTAGTCTAGACCATCTTTCTTCAGGGGGGCTTCTCGAGTAGCTCAAATGGTAAAATATCTGCCCACAGTTCGAGAGACCTGGATTCAATCCCTGGGTCGGGAAGATCCCCTAGAGGAGGGCAAGGCAACCCACTCCAGGATTCTTCCCTGGAGAATCCCTTGGACAGAGGACCTGGCAGGCTACAGTCCACTGAGTCTCAAAGAGTCGGACATGACTGAGCAACTAACACTTTCACTTTTGAGACCATGTTTTAGAAAGGAACTGGAGAAATTAACTGGAGTCCAACATACCCTCGAAAAATCAACCTTGCCAACTCAACCACAGAGATGATGGAAATCCATTAAAAACTTCAACTCTCTGTATCTACACCCAAACCAGTCCAACTAAAACAAAACAAAACAAAAAAAACCCCAGCTGCTGGGACTTCCCTGAAGGTCCAGAGGTTAAGACTCCACGCTTCCACACTTTCAACGCAGGCGGCACAGGTTCAACCCCTGCGAGAACTAAGGGGAACTAAGAGCTCATGTGCTCCCAGATTGGGCCAAAACAAACAAACAAAAAAACCAACTTCCTGCCTTCCACCACCAGCCTCCTCCAAAACTCTGCTTCCCAGATCCTTCTCCTCTTCTCCAGAAGTTCATTCCCAGCCTCAGAGGAATTCTTGTATGTACGAAGGCATGTAGCCCTGAAAGCAAAAGTGCTTTCCCCTCTTAAACTCCCTCACCTCTTGCTCTTTTCCAAACACGTTTAAGATTCACGACTCACACGGAAAAGCATACATGGCAGCTTTAGGTATTTCTTTCCCTTTTTTCAAGTGAAAGCCTTCAGCTAGAACCTACAGCATTTTAAGATTCTGGGAATTTTTTTTTAAAAAAGAGAGAAATCTCGAAGTCTACACCTTACGGTTTATATGTAAACAATGAGTCCTAGAGGTTAGCCAAATCCAACTATTTAAACATCATCAGGTCAGTTCTAGTAACTTCTAATGGAGCATAGCCTATACAAATACTGAAACCCTATACTGTACACCTAAAACTAACATAATATTAAAAATCAACTATTACTTCATTAAAAAAAATTTAAAAAAAAAACAATTAAATGCTAATGGAAGACCCTGCCCCTGTCCATACCTACCAAGGGTGAACGGGGGTGGGGGGCTCTGAGTCATTTAGATTCAGTGAGGGTGAGCTCCTGCCCTGACAGAGAGGTGATATCCCACCTCTTTTTTTGGGTAAAAAACCCAAAATCCTCAAGGCTGTTCCGAGGTTCTGAGAGCTGGTTGCAGGGACCTCTCCATTCACTGCATTTGCATCCTGTGTTTATGATTTCTGACACATCCAAAATCTACTATTTGCCCTGTATTCTTTTCCAGCTGATTCATGTTTATTGACATGTATTTTTTTTTTAATCTTTTAAATTTCTTAAATTTTTTAACTTTTTAAAGAAATTTTTTATGTCACCCGCTATAGAGAAAAGGTAGTCACAAAAATAAATTCACAGCAATTCCAAAGCTATCCCTCCACACACTCCCACTCCATCAGGGTTACACAGCCGCATCTGGAGAGAACTAAGCTGGTGTCCATTGTATCAGGTGACCCGTAGTAACAACTGTAGCACATCTACGATTGTGTCACTGAAACTTCACCAGCCACACAGACAAACACCTGCTCTTGAGGTGGGAACCGGCATTGTTCCTATTTTCCAGATGGAGAAACTGAGGTGCCAAGAGAGGAAGCCACTCGCAGTGGAGTGAGGGGTCCAAGTAGCAGGTCACCCTCCTGCTCTGGATGGCACAGCTCTCACAGGGAGCACGGTCACCCCTGCACCCGGGAACAGCCATGCCGAAGCCTGTATGGCCCCCGCCCACCTGACTGCCTGGTCCCATCCTCCCAGAGAACCTTCATAACATCCCCACTGGACTCAAGATTCCAACCATCCACACGCTACATCACAGAATGAACCGGGGGAAAGGATGGAATGCCTTTCCCTTATTTTCCATTTTCTGTTTCTTATTTGTCTACTGGGAATATGCACTGCTTTTGTAATAGCAGAAAAATCGAAGGTTTGAGCTTGTTTTTAAGTCGAGTCACTTGCCACCAAAGGTTAAAAGGACTAAGTTCTTTCTCCTGCTTCTTTGAGGAAGGCCCAGGACAACAATGTGCAGGGCAGGAGACAACCTCAGTGCCATGTCCAGAGGGAGCCCTTCCTGCAGTGAGGACAGACAATCATAAAGCAGAGTGAGCCGTTCCGGGTGTGGAGAGGCGGGAAAGGGCTGAAAAGTGCCTAAAGCTGAAGGTGGTAAGCTTCCTCTGTTCCCAGAGGCGTTGGTCTGTGGACACGACAGCAGCCCCACCTGGGAGACTGGAATTTCCGCCAAAAACAATGGGGATGGGCCATGGGTGTCAGTCGAACTGCTGAGTGAAGTCAAAGGCTAATAAGGCCCGAATCAACTCAGACTTCCAACCGAGCTCAGCACACGGCCAGTCACTGAGCTGTGTGCACAGGACTCCTCTGCAGGACACCCTCCCCGCCAACTCTGGGCTCACATCTGGGTGCCCACCTGCCCAGGTGGCCTGAAACCGTCCAGTTTCTATCAATCAAACTGTGTGATTACTAACAGTATTTCCTTCACTCAGTGTCCTGATTTGGACAACATGTCAGACATTCACACATGGACAGACACAGAAGAATCACACAGTGGGTGATAGCCACAAAGCAAAACTCAGTGTCCCGAGTGTAGTTCTGACCCTCCCAACAACTGGCAGAATAGTCCTGGACAACAGAGATCGGACAAAGTCAGGGGACTAGTGACCAACACCCTGAGCAAACCCTGACAGTCTGAAGTCCCTGCCTGGAGTTCCATGTGGAGAAGAATCTTTTTTTTAATTTATTTTATTTAAGTGCAGTTGATTTACAATGTTTTGTTAATTTCTGCTGCATAGCAAAGTGACTCAGTTATACACATATAAATATGTTCTTTTCATATTCTTTTCCATTATGGTTTATCCCAGGATATTGAATATAGTTCCCTGAGCTCTACAGCAGGACCTGATAATTTCTGCTGCATAGCAAAGTGACTCAGTTATACATACATAAATGTGTTCTTTTTCATATTCTTTTCCATTATGGTTTATCCCAGGATGCTGAATATAGTTCCCTGTGCTCTACAGCAGGACCTTATTGCTTATCCATTCTCTATACAATAGTTTGTATCTGCTAATCCCAACCTCCCACTCCATCCCACCACTACCCTCTTTCTCCCTAACAACCACAAATCTCTATATTTGGGAGTGTGTTTCTATTGTATAGATAGGTTCATTTGTGTCATGGTTTAGATTCCACATATAGTGATATCTTATGATATTTGTCTTTCTCTTTCTGACTTACGCGAATAGTATGGTAATCTCTAGGTCCATCCATGCTGCTGCAAATGGCATTATTTAATTATTTTTTATGACTGAGTAATATTCCATGGTATATATGTGTGAAAGTGAAAGTTTTTCAGTCATGTCCAACTCTTAGGGATCCCATGGACTTTATAAAGTCCATGGAATTCTCCAGGCCAGAATACTGGAGTGGGTAGCCTTTCCCTTCTCCAGGGGATCTTCCCAACCCAGGGATCAAACCCAGGTCTCTCGCATTGCAGGTAGATTCTTTTCCAGCTGGGCCACCAGAGAAGCATCTTCTTTATTCATCTTCTTTATTCATTCATCTGTTGGTGGCTATTTAGGTTGTTTCCAAGTCTTGGCTACTGTGAACAGTGCTGCTATGTACATAGGGGTGCATGTATCTTTTCAAATTATGGTTTTGTCCGGATTATGATTTTGCCCAGGAGTGAGATTGCTGGATCATATGGCAACTATTTGGAGAAGGCTCTTAAGGCCACATCTGGGTGCAGTAGGGAAGGGTGACAGATTTTATCAGCAATGAGGTTATGGGTGGGGAAGAGGAGAAGGTGAAAAGCAGCCAAGTACCCTGAATAAGCAGCCCTTCAACTCATCAGTCCCCGTAGGTCCTTCCTTTTGACATTTGAGCTCCAAAATGATCAGAAAAGAACCATGCTCAGAGCTATTGGCCACGGATAACCTCTGCGGTCCAGGATTACTCTGCTATCTGGTGGTCGAGCTCTCCTGGCTACAGCAGAAAGATCCAGTCAGTTAGGAAATGCTGAAGGATCCAGAAAAGGAAACTGTCCCAGCAGAGAACAGTTCCCCTTAACCTCTGGTACCTCCCTCACGGAGATGGTTCATACTTCAAGAATGAGGAGTTTGAGGGGAAACTCCTCGTGAGTTGTTCTCGTGAGACTTCCCCGGGAAGGAGTCTTCCCAAGACTCTTAGCCAACAGGATACGGTAGCACTGATACAAGTAACCACTGCCTGGAGCAAGTCCTCTCCCAAGTTTGGTGCAAACCACAGCGAGCCTCTGCGACACTGACATGTCCTGATGGCCGAGCAAAGCAATGAACTTCATTGTCTGGAGATCTCTCACAAGCTCGTGTAGCTTGTGGGATAGGAGTGTGTGGGGGTGTGTGCACTCACTCACAAAGATTTCATTGAAGTTAGGAAGCCATGAAGGAGGGCAGCAGACAGACATAGAGAACAGACTTCTTGTTGCCAAGTCACTGGGGGAGGGGAGGGATGGATTAGGAGGCTGGGATTCGCAGATGCAAATTATTATATGTAGGAAGGATAAAAAACAAGGTCCTACTGTACAGCTCATAAAACCATCAGCTCAGTTCAGTTCAGTCGCTCAGTCATGTCTGATTCTTTGCAACCCCATGGACTGTAGCACGCCAGGTCTCCCTGTCCATCACCAACTCCCGGAGTTTACCCAAACTCACGTCCATTGAGTCGGTGATGCCATCCAACCATCTCATCCTCATCCATAAAACCATAATGGGAAAAAAGATGAAAAAGAATGTACATATATGTATAACTGAGTCACTTTGCTGTACAGTAGAAATTAACATTGTAAATCAACAGTACTTCAATAAAACTTTTTTAAAAAGGAGAGTGACCTCAAAAGACATGGAGGAGTCTCAAAAGAACACAAAGAGGAGGCGTGTGGAACAATCATTCAGCCACTTATCTCAATCTCGCCATGAATCTACTCAAACCCCATGTCGGGCTCTGCTCACCTTGTTGAGTCGTTCCAGCATCTCCTTCAGCAGCAGTTGACACTCACACTCATTTTCATACCTGCAGACGAGATACAGAAGGCAGAGTGGGGCATTCAGTCAGCCTGAGTCCTGCGCCCTCTCTTTACAGGAAGCAGGAGCTGATGCTGTCTTTCAGAGCCCACTCACCCTTTCCCAACCTTCTCCATGGTATACATAGGGGGTGCCATACATGGAGACCCAGCCTCAAGCCCCCAGCATCCCCACCTAGCCACCCAAGGATGCAGGAATCAGACCTCAGCACAGCTGTCACCCCAGGACCGCACCTGGGGGCTGCCCTAAGGTTCTGCCTCAAACACCACAGCCCTGACATTGCCTGGCTATCCTATACTATTGTATTCATCCACCTGAGACAGCTTTTCTGGATTGTGTCCTTTGATCCCTATAAAACCCTGGAAGAGAGCAGTTGCGGAAGACCGGGAAACTGAGGTTGAGAAACTGGCCCGAGGCCCCTATAGATGCTCTGGGCGCTTCACCCGCAGCATCTGTCAGAATCGTTCTGCACACCCAGGGCCTCCCCTGGGCTGGGGGCCAGGGCAGGCTGGACAGGTCAAAGAGTCAGTCCTCCTGGGAGCAGCCTGCAAGCTCCGACAGGGCGAGTGGGGACACACACACCCCGGCTCCCTCCCTTCCAGCTGGGACCACAGAGGTGTGCTCTCCACCCCACCGGTAGGTGCCAGTAGCCACAAAGGTAACTTGCCAAATGAGGCACCGCTTGGTCTTTCCCTGCCTCCCTCACTTCCCCACTCCCCAACTGCAGCTCCCTGACACTATCCCCCAAATAAGCCACTTTCCCAGGCTCAGCTCCTGGAGAACTTCACACACAAAGGGGTGAGTCAGGATTCAGATGCGAGCCTGCCACATCTACCACGCTGCCTAGGCAGAGCAGGGACACCACCAAAGTTATAAGCATGCACAAGATTAAGAAAGTAGCTGGTGCTAGGAGCAGGTGTATTTTTCCTCCTAGTCAGCTTCTTCCCTGGAGTCCTAAAAAAAAAAAAAAAATGCTAAAGATCAAGGAAGCAAAAAAACACCAGAAATCATTCTGGTCAGAACAAGGTTCCCTCTAGGGGGAATTTCATCCCCTGAAGAAAAAGAGAAAGCCCCTTCCCCAATGACCCCCACCTCACTCTCTGTAAACTGTCCCCAGTATCCATCCTAATAGGACATAGGAAGCCATGTTTGGAAGCTTTCTATGTTTGGAAGCCACAGCGCTGCCTAGAATAAAGACTACATTTCCCAGCCTTCCTTGCAGCTCAGTGTGGCCATGTGACTCAGTCCTGACCAATGGGAAGCAAGCATGCCTGTGGCCACTTGAGGATATCTCTGGTAAGAGATGGTATAGGTATGTCCTTCTACATCCCTTCCTCCATCTTGTCCCTTGAAACACCAGTGCTGCCTTCTTGAAAGCCACACACTGCCTTGTGGGCCTTGATTACCATAGGGTGCCATACTAAAGGGCTAGCCCAGACCTTACACAAGAAAGAAACAATCTTCCACTTTGGATAAGCCAGTGTTAACTTGGAATTTATTTGTAGTTGAAACTAATCGTACTTAGCACTTAGACCAACCTACACCTGTGTCCCTGCACACCCATGCCACAGGTTCAAGTTACGACTTTACGCTGACGGGTGCTGGGAAACTGCAGCTCAGAATCAAAAGTCCTGACCTCAGGGAAGAACTCTGTTCTCAGTGTCCCCATCTCCAGAGCCATCCAAGCAGCTTAGCTGTAACCAGTAAGCAAAATATGTGTGCATAAGTTTTACTTTTCACACCAGGATGTCACATTTAGCAGTTTGTTTTCTGTGTGGCACTAATGGAGCCAGAAATGATTTTTTTAAAATAGTTAATTAGCTTTAAAAATAAAACTGCTAACAAAATTTAATTTTCTTATTGCTTTTTCCTGCTAGAAACATCCAAGAATTTCTATACCTTAAAAACATATTTAGGGATTTCCCTGGGTGATCCAGTGATTAAGACTCCACACTTCCAGTGCAGGGGGCCCGGGTTTGATCCCTTGTTGGGGAACTAAGATCCCACATGCTGCACACAGCCAAATACTTTTAAAAAAATAATTTAAAAAAATTTTTAAACATATTTAATAAACAAAATATTAACCTAGTTTCATGCTGTAGACAAGTCTAGGTATTATATTAAAGACAGGCGATCTCATAAAGAATTCATGGTAAGAATTCATAATATATTCATATATTCATAGAAGTGAATATAGAAGTGAATTCATAAGGTGGGAAAAACCACTTTGGCTTCAATCATCTGACAGAATTATTTTTAGCTTTCAGCAATTTGGATAATTGACTCATCATTGTATTTTGTATGCATCATTGTATTTATCGTATTTTGGTAGTTTTGTTTTTATTTTTATTTAGCTTTTATTTTATTTAGCCTTTCTTTGATGTGTTAAAGACCTGATTTTGAAATTATACAACTATCCAGGTAAAGAATATGCCTAACAAGGTTGCATATACCTTTCTGTTTCTATATTAATTTCACCTATTTCTGGCTAGTCATCACCACACCTCTGGAATTAAACCAAACTCAGTGTGTGTCCCCAGTGTATTACAGATGTGTATAATTTTTACAATGATTTTCTAATCTCACTATCCAATTTTAAATATCAAAACTTCTCTAAGGGGGCAGTGGGAGGGAATAAACTAATGAGAATTATCAAATAAATCAGAGAGACTAAGGGGCCGGCTACATGATGGACACACAACTCAGAATCAAGTAAAATCAGGAAAACTCAACACAGCCACCCTCCACTGAGGGCTCCCAGGAGTCATGCTTGCCCAGCCAAATCACAACCGACTGTGACTCAAGGACTGTGGCCCAGGTAAAGGCCATCTGGGGATCTGGGGTATCCAGATGACCCATGGAGCTGCCTTGTGTCCCAACATTCACCTCCATTGCTTTAGGTAACGTGAGCTTTATATGAGTGAAGGCCTCACTCCACGGCGTCCAAGGAAGGTTTCTCTCCAAGACACAGCGTTCTGGAAAGGGTATGGGCCTCCAGGCGAAAAACCCAAGTTCAAGCCCTGCCACCTACAGGCCCTCTGTAGCCTCAGTTTTCCCTTGAAGAGCTATAGGGATATTCAGGTGCATTCTTCCAGGATCAAAACCAGAAACAGGGACTTTCCTGGCAGTCCAATGGTTAAGACTCTACACTTCCACTGCAGGGGCCACAGGTTCAATCCCTGGTTAGGAAACTAAGATCCTGCATGCCACACAGCACAGCTAAAAAGAAAGAAAATGAGAAACAGCAGGACTGATGGAATGAATGCTTATAGTCAGATAAACAGGCTCGATATACAATGCTGAATAACCTGTTCACGTCCAGGGCTGAGAATATGGAATACAAACACAGAGCACATTTGAAGAAAACTCTCCAGCTACCCTAGACCAGAGATCCTCAAACCTGGCTGTTCACTGAAATTACCAGTGGAGCTCATTAAATATGGAATTCCTGGGGTTCACTTGAGGTCCAGGGTCAGGTCTACCTCTGAATTTTTTTCATTAATTTATACAATTTTTAAACAGATAAATCTCTTACATGGTCAGAGAATTTTTAAAATGACATCAGAAGATGCTAAGTTAAAATTCTCCCTCTACCTCTGTTCCTCCTCCCTTATCCTCATAGGTAAGCAGTGTTGTTAGGTTTCTGTGTGTGGGCTTGTGTCCTTTTGCAAGCAAAAAATCTCTATGCCTACCCCTGTCTTTTTAAAATAGATAATAACACACTATTTTTTGCTTTTTACAATTGCAGAGAATTCCATTGCATGAATGAAACACAATTTCATACCCTGACTCCTATTAACAGGCATTCAGGTTGGTCCCAGGTCTTAGTTACTGAGATCGTGCTGCAGGGAATATCCTTGTGGAAATGTCCTTTGACACCTGCTCGAGTATCAGAGGGGGCTGCCCAGTGGTGCTAGTGGTAAAGAACCCACTTGTCAAATGCAGGAAACATAAGAAATGCGGGCTCGATCCCTGGGTCAGGAAGATTTCCCAGAGAAGGAAATGGCAACCCACTCCAGTATTCTTGCCTGGAGAATCCCATGGACAGAGGAGCCTCGCGGGCTACATAGGCTCACAGAGAGTTGGACTACACTGAAGTGACTTAGCACACACACACACACAGAGTATCCGAGGACAAATTCCCTGAAGCACCCAGCTGAGTCAAAGTGCACACTCATTTATAACCTGGAAAGATGTTGACAAATCGCTGAGCATCTTTTTTTTTTGAACAGCTTTTAGGGTGATTTTAAAGCATTATTCATTCTATCAAAAGGGAGCACATTGCCCAGGATCAGGACTTCTGAAACTTCAATGTTTAACTTAAACACTGAATCACCTGGGGGGTTCTGTTAAAGTGCAGTCAGATCCAGGAGCTCTGGGGGTGGGCCCAAGAGTCTTCTTTTTTAACAAGCTCCTGGGTGATAGGAAACTGCTGGTCCATGGATCGCACTTTGAGTAGCCAGACCCTAGAGGACACAGGCTGAAACAATGTCCAGGTGTCAGCTGTGATACAATGAAGACACTTAGACTTTGCATGTTCAAGAGCTGAATTCCAATCCTGGTGCAGCAGTCACCAGTTGAGTGACCTTTCCCCTAAATCAATACACTGTCTGAACCCCAGTCTCCTCATCTGTGAAATGGGTGCAGTACGCTCTATAACAGGATGAGCCTGTGAGCATTAATAAACATCCATCATGGATGAAACTGGAGCCCATTATACAGAGTGAAGTAAGCCAGAAAGATAAAGACCATTACAGTATACTAACACATATATATGGAATTTAGAAAGATGGTAACGATAACCCTATATGCAAAACAGAAAAAGAGACTCAGATGTATAGAACAGACTTATGGACTCTGTGGGAGAAGGCGAGGGTAGGATGTTTCAAGAGAACAGCATCGAAACATGTATATTATCTAGGGTGAAACAGATCACCAGCCCAGGTTGGATGCATGAGACAAGTGCTCGGGCCTGGTGCACTGGGAAGACCCAGAGGGATCGGGTGGAGAGGGAGGTGGGAGGGGGGGCCGGGATGGGGAATACATGTAAATCCATGGCTAATTCATTTCAATGTATGGCAAAAACCACTGCAATGTTGTAAAGTAATTAGCCTCCAACTAATAAAAATAAATGGAAAAAGAAAAAAAAAAAAACCATCCATCATGGGGTTGCAAAGAGTTGGCCTCGACTTAGCGACTGAACAACAATCTCAAAAACACTATGCAAAGCCTAAGGAGCCAGACACATAGAAGAATGTGTCTAGAAGATTCCATTTTTTATGAAATTCTAGAACAGGCCATAGTAGTCTATAGTGACAGAAATCAGAACCCTGGGTGCCTCGTTTGAGGGGACTGGGGAGGGGGAACCAAAGACTGGGAAAGGGCAGAAGGGAACTTTCTTGGGTAAAGGAAATATCTTGTTTTAGTAGGGGTAAAGGGGTACCTATGTTTCTCAAACTCATTACACTATGCTCTGGAATGTGTGCATTTTATTGCATGTAATTAAATCTGGATATTAAGATAGGTTAAAAAAGTAAATTACACCATTTCATTTGAACTGTGACACGGCATCAAAATGGAAGCTAGTCCTAGCTCAGGGAAAAGCACCACGTGCGTGCCTCCGCAGAGATGAAGTCATCGGTCGCCCCGGGATCAGAGACTGCCCTCCCAGCCCAGCGGCCGCGCGCTCCCGGCCCGCGCCGCCTGTCACCCTAGAGGCGCCGCTTACTTGCTCCGGAACTCGTCGAGCGCGCGCTGCGCCTCTGCGCCCTGGCGCTCCAGCCGGGTGCGCTCGGCGGCCAGGTCCCGGGCGCGCTGGCGATTGCCCTCGACGTGGCGGGCCAGGGCATCCTCGGGGCCGGCCAGCTCGTCCAGGCGCTGGAAGGCGTCCAGCTGCCTCCGGAGGACGGCATGGCGCTGCTCGAGCGCCCGGGCCCGCTGGACGTGAGCGGCCACGCGCTCGCCGAGCCCCTGCAGCGCCGCCAGGTTCGGCGCGGCCGCCCGGCTCTCCGCCAGGCGGTCCGGCTCTGCGGCGCGCGGCGCCTCCTCGGCGCGCTCGTACTGCTCCTTGCGGGTCTGGAAGACGTAGCTGCGCCTGAACATGGCTCCTCTGCGGGCGGGCGCACCGGCCGGCTCCCCGAGGCACCTCGCCGAGCCAGCAGTCCGCTAAATAAACATCGGAGGCCCCGGGTGCGCAGCTGGGACGTTCCAGAGCGTGTCAGCTGTCTCTCCACGCGGCGCCCAGCCTCGGGGAGAACAAAAGAGCCGCGGGCCCCGCTTTTGTGCGCCGGCTTAGCGGCCCATACAGCTCTGGGGGTTGGAAGGTTACCCAGCGCCGTGAGGGTTTTGTTCCCGGATTGTTGAGCCCGTTGCTTTTGAGTAAATGGAGTGTCAGGAGCACAAAAGAAGCATGCCTTTCTTCTGACTTGTTTCCACTGTGGAATTGCGAAGGAAGCCCAAGGGAAGGGCTTGTTAACCTTGGTCTAGCTGGAGAGCCCAAGGACCCAAGGCTTTGTCTCCTCTCTCTCTCGGTCAAGCTTTCAATTTTAGAGCTTTTTAACAATACATTTTTCTTTGCTCATTACTTAAGCATCTATTTTTCGTAATTACACTATGGCATTAAACACCCCTCTTTATATTAGTGGTTCTTAACCTTGGATGCAATATCAAATGGCACTTCTTAATAAATTGTGAGGTGTGTTGAAAGTTCTTACTGATACTTGTACATGTTTGTAAGGACTCTCTTCTTTGCACAGTAACTCAGAAAACCTTGCACAGTTGTTGTTACTATTAATATTATCCTGAGGCTCATGGATTCTGAGAGCCTTTCTGGAGTAGGAGATGCAAGCCAAGCTCCATCAGGACATTGGCATAATAGATTCTTGCAACCAAAGAAAAACTTCTTACAGCCTAAAGATTTGATAAACTGGCCAACTCTAAATTAGATATATAAAGGAATTTGTGTCACTATGTTTCATTTTAATTTATATTCTGGAAATAATAAAGCTAGGCTTTGCTAAATTTAAAAGTGAATTGTGGGTGTTGAAAGAAATGAATAGCATTTGATGAGACCATTCCTAGATAGAAATATTTTGTCCTATCTTCAATTTTAAAAATCATTATCAAAAGCCTGTTTTCATAAAAAGATTAGCAGTACCATAAAATTAACAACTCTGTTGATTGCACATAGTATACTACAAATTAAAGTCATAGTTAACAAAGATGAAGAAAATTACACAGATCTTTGTTGGGTTTCTCGGAATTTATTTTTTCTCCAAAAAGACTAAGACATGGATTCAGTCTGGGATGTATCTATGTAAGGACCAAAGTTGTGCTGGTAGTGTAGTTATTCTATTTTCTTGTGTTAAGTCATTTAAAAATAGATTTTATGATCAAATCAAGGAGAACCAATGCTTATTAATATTTTATATAGTATGGCACACATATACCATGCTGATGCCATAGCAAATTGGTTTCAAGCTTCCTAGAGAGTGAAACCAATATAGAACGAGAATGATTTATAAAAAAAATCATTCCTTCCCTTTGACATCATGTGTCAGTCAGGTATTTCAACAAAACACAATGACCCCCCAAGCTAAGTAGCAGACGAAAAGTCATTTTTTGTCCAATATTTAGTTTGCAGGTCAGCTGCAGGGCTTTTGTGCAAGCTTCAGGTCTTCTGATCCACCCGGGCAGCTGTGCTCCCAATGGAACTGCTCTTCCTGGAACTCGCAGTGACAGAAGGACAGGAACAAGCCCGTCCAGACCACTCCAAGACTTTGTTGGCTTTGGGTCCACTAACATCCTTTAGTGAAACCAAAGCACAGGGGGACTTTCCTGATGGTCCAGTGGCCAAGCTCTGCACTCCCAATGCAGGGAGCCCAGGTTTGATCCCTGGTCAGATTGAAGGCAGGAGAAGAAAGGGACGACAGAGGATGAGATGGTTGGATGACATCACCAACTTGATGGACATGAGTTTGAGCAAGCTCCAGGAGTTGGTGATGGACAGGGAAGCCTGGCGTGCTACAGTACATGGGGTTGCAAAGAGTTGGACACGACTGAGCGGCTGAACTGAACTGAACAGGAAACTAGATCCTGTGTGCCACTGTTGTAGCCACACATTCCAGGAAACAAACTAACTGAGAAGGACAATGCAGATAGTAGAGTGCAGTTTATACACTGGCGGACCCAAGGCAGAGTCTCTTCTTAGAAAGGACCCTGACCAGTTTTTGTGAAAACCTTATATACCCTAAGTGTACCATGCACAAACCTACCTCCCCAAATTCCCTGACAATCAAAGTTAACCCGTGATTCATATGCCTTAAGCCCAGGTAGTTAACTGTGGACAATTATCAACAGGCCTGTGGTCATACCCCAATAAGCATAATAGAATGTATGATTCTATTCGGTTACACAGATAATTAGGGTATTCTTTTAGCGATGGAGAGCTCTGGGGCTCTTCCTTCTGGGGGCCTGGTTTTCCAGTTGGTATGTCGTTTCCATAGATATTGGGCATATAGCTCAAAGTCCACAGTCCGACCCAAGATGGAGTCCTGCTTTCAAGATAGAGCCTGTTCTGTTTCCTCCTTCACCACAACTAAGGGTTCACATGCCTCAAGTAAGACCCGGTGCAAGTCAAATAAACACATAAAAATAAATGAAAGGTCTTCCTGGTGGCTCAGTGTTAAAGAATCTGCCTGTCAAGGCAGTGGACACTGGTTTGATCCCTGGCCCGGGACGATCCCACGTGTCTCGGAGCATCCAAGCCCATGTCCCATGACTACTGAGCCTGTGCTCTAGAGCCTGGAAGCCACAGCTACTGAGGCCACGTGCTGCAACTACTGAAGCCCACATGCCCTAAAGCCCGTGCTCCACAACAATAAGAAGCCCTCAAAGAAGAGCAGCCCCTGCTCATCACAACTGGAGAAAGCCCTCACAGCAACAAAGACCCAGCACAGCCAAAAATCAATAAATAAATGAATATTAAACAAAGCAAAGTACCCAGCCACAGTCAAGAGCCAAGGAAGAGACATGGCCCACCCAAGACCATGTCAAGGGTGTGGTGTGTAACTCTATCACAGTGGAATGAAGCGTTGGGACCAGCCACCCAGTCTGTCACCCATGGAGAGCCCTTTGGGAAAAATACAAACTTCCAGAAACATAACAACAGAAAAAATATTATTTCTGTTTAACCCAGTGGAACAAACACTTAGAAAATATTTACTCACAAAGCATCATCTGGAAGAGTTAAATATTGGACAAGGTCAAGTCCTTACCCTGAAGGGGCAGGAGACAAATTCCAACTTAACAAATGAAGATACAAGGAAATCTGGGATAAGTTCAAAAACAGAGACGGTAACAAAGCGCTGTGGTCACATCAGGGCAGCAGCAGTGAGCAGAGGGTGGGCAGGTAGGCAACTTAGAATTCCAGATGAAATAGCATAAATGAGGTGTGCGCCCTGAGTTCCCTGAACTTGTAGCTAAACCGTGGCAGGTGTGGCAAGAGAGTCCCACAAAGGAAAGTTCAAAGGCTCCGCATGAGTGACCATGGAACATGGGCATTACCTCCACTCCTTTCACCAAGCCCCACCAAAAATGGCAGCAAGGAATCTTCTGAGATTAAAATTTCACAAAAATAAGGAAGAAAAGATGACAGTGGACAAGTTCCGTCAACAGATTTTCAGAAGGCTGACCAGGGACAGATTCCTGGAGACTGATGTGGCGCTGTGGAGAAAGCTGAAACCCAACTGTCTCGGGGGATGGGAGAAGAAAGCCGGTTCGCACAAGAGGATCTCAGAAAATCTTAGAAATTATATGTAGCAGATACAGGAGAAGATGGAGGTGAAGCGTAGTGTTGGCCAGTCCAAGCTTGTGCTCCTTGCCACATGACAGGTCAATAACTGGAGAGATGAGTTGTCAGGGCAAGGAACAGAGACTTTATTTGGAAAGCCAGCAGACTGAGGAGATGGTGGACTTGTGTCCCAAAGAACCATCTTCTTTGAGTTAGAATTCAGGCCTCTTTTATACTAAGATGGGAGTGGGGGTGGCTGGTTGTTGCTGACTTCTTGGTGCAGGAATCCTTTGTTCTAGCAGCTGTCCAGGTACGTCTGGTCACAATGTTCCTATAAACCTCCAATAAGACAAGTGTTATTCTCTATTCTGCAACTTTTTATCTCTATACAAATGGAAAAGGGTTACCCCTTTAAAGATCAGAGTTCTGAGAAAGGGCTGTCAATTATATTCCAAACTATAGGTAGCATGCTTTGACAGAAGGTGCAGACCCCAAAGAAGTTAGCACAGGCAACAGGGCACAATGGTTAGAGCTAGAGGAACAGACCCAAGGAGTCAGGTTTGTTCATCTCTGTCACAGTACAGCTGAAACACAAGAGGGTTGCCTGAGAGTCTGCACAGGAACAGTTAGAATTTCAGATCTCCTCCTCTGTCCTGCACACAGGCAACCAACCAATCTTCATCATGACAGGAGACCTGAAAGTTATTCCAGGTAAAATTGAACAAGAGATGTCTTGAGTTCAAGGTAGCTGGGCATAGCCAAGGGCAGGACAGTGGGCCAGATGAAACAGCTGTAGGTGGTAGGAGCTCAGCCAGCAAACCCATCTGGCCCCAGTATGGGCACTGGTAAATGGGAATAGTCACTTACAGGACGAGAGTCACCATGCATCCCAGTTCACCTGAGACCATCCACGTTTACCCCCTTTATCACAGTGTGAGTACAGGTGGCTCCCTCTTTCACTCCCAAGAGTATTGCAGTTTGTCTGAGAAGGACACAGCATCTCATCCCAGCCTCGAGTGCATCAGTTTCAGTTCAGTCACTCAGTTGTGTCCAACTCTTTACAACCCCATGGACTGCAGCATGCCAGTCTTCCCTGTCCATCACCAACTTCCAGAGCCTATTCAAACTCATGTCCATCACGTCGGTGATGCCATCCAACTATCTCATCCTCTGTCGTCCCCCTCTCCTCCTGCCTTCAATCTTTCCCAGCATCAGGGTCTTTTCCAATGTGTCGGTTCTTTCCATCAGGCAGCCAAGGTATTGGAGCTTCAGCTTCAGCATCAGTCCTTCCAATGCCTAAAGCTAATCATAT